CGCTGTAGTGTTTTTCTTTTTTAATTAAAACAAAATAATTTTGTTTCTTGAATGCTGTGTCAGAAGTAAGCTTGGCACTTAACTTGCACCTGTGGCGTTTGAAGCACAGCTGCGATAATGTGTCCTTATCGGCAGGCAGCACAGCACTGGTGTGTTATCGGAAGAGTCTGCTATTAGTGATAATATGCAGGAAACCAGGTCCTGGACCCTTCTTCCGCTGGCTGGGGAGAACTTCTGCAGCTCCAGTGATACCTCACTTCATATTTACAGTTCGAGGCCCTACCTGGTTTGGAAGCTCACCATTGCTACCGCCAGCCTGCCCAGCTCAGCAACAGCCACCTCGGATTTGCTTTCTGAGAACCCAACTTTCTTTCTCTTCATCTGCTTTCTTTAACATTTTCTTCTTTTAAAGTCCATTTTCTTGTTAAGAAAGCAGCACAGCAGGGACTCCACCACAGGCGTTGTTGGAGTGCAGGTGCATCATGGCCTGGGCTGACTTGCTCCCTGAGCCTGTGGGGGAAGGAAGGCACAGCAGAACTCCTCTTGCTGCCACCATGTATCTTCACCTGACTTTCAGCAACAACAGCAACGGACTTTGCGGCCTTTGTCAGCAGACAGCTCATTTCTTACCCTGTTCCATGACCCCTTAGGACACAAAAGCCAGTCTGGAAACTGGCAAACCCTCCACTGAGGCAGCTTTTGAACTCTCCAAGGTAGCCATCAGGACCCGCCCCATCCTTCCAGCCTTCTGTATTTACATTGCAGTCTACACTGTGTTTTTCAAGCTGGCCCAATAGAGTCTTAAATCAATTCAGTGTCATAGTCATATTGGTTTTTTCTTTTTTTTTTTTTTTTTTGAGTTGGAGTCTCACTCTGTCGCCCAGACTGGAGTGCAGTGGCCACTTCTGGCCACCGCAGCCTCGACCTGCTGGGCTCCGGCGATCCTTCCGCCTCAGCCTTCCAGGTAACTGGAACTACAGGCGCGCGCTATCACACTTGGCTAATTTTTTGATTTATTGTAGAGATGAGATCTCGCCAAGTTACCCAGGCGGGTCTCGAACCCGCGGGCTCAGGCAATCCACTCACCTCAGCCTCCCAAAGCTCTGGGATTACAGGCTGAGCCACCGAGCCTGGCAGTTTTTTCTTTATTGAGATGGAACAGAAGAGGGACTCTCAATATAACACATATAGTCAAGATCATCCGTTGTTTTTTGGAAATGTATATGTGGATTATAGTAAAAAAGAAGTCTGAAAAACATTCATCTTCAGCATCCTTCATCTGCAGATGTAGCTTGGCTCAGCAGACATCCAGGTATCCTAAAAGCCTTCCTGCTCTCCTGGCCCTGACTTTGCACCTTGTTCTGATCAAAGGTTCTTTGAACCTCTCCCTACCCACCGCCTGTTTCTGAGTCCCTGTTTTGGCTTCTGCCTGGGCCCCCCTTGCCCCTTGGAAAGGTGTTGCTTCAGAGGAGACAGGTCAAAGAAAAGTTCCTTTGTCTTCTCTTACTCACCTGCCTGACAGGAATGGATGTAAATGAATGTTTACTTACTTCCATTTTATTTTATTTTATTTTATTTTATTTATTTATTTTTTTTTTTGAGTTGGAGTCTCACTCTGTCACCCAGACTGGAGTGCAGTGGCTGCTTCCGGCCACCGCAGCCTTGCCTGCTGGGCTCCGGTGATCCTTCCTCCTCAGCCTTCCAAGTAGCCAGAATTACAGGCGTGCGCCACCACGCCCGGCTGATTTTTTGATTTATTGTAGAGATGCGGTCTCACTGCCCAGGCGGGTCTCGAACCCGCGGGCTCAGGCAATCCACTCACCTCAGCCTTCCAAGGCGCGGGATTACAGGCTGAGCCACTGAGCCCAACTACTTATTTCCTTTTTTTTTTTTATTTTATTTTATTTTTTTTAGTTGGAGTCTCACCCCGTCGCCCAGACTGGGGTGCAGTGGCCGCTCCCGGCCACCGCAGCCTCGACCTGCTGGGCTCCGGCGATCCTTCCGCCTCAGCCTTCTGAGTAGCCGGAATTATAGGCATGCGCTACCACGCCCGGCTGATTTTTAGATTTATTGTAGAGATGAGGTCTCGCTGCCCAGGCGGGTCTCGAACCTGCCGGCTCAGGCAATCCACCTCACCTCAGCCTCCCAAAGGCGCGGGATTACAGGCTGAGCCACCGAGCCCGGCTATTTACTTCCATTTTAAAAGAGCACAGAAATAGCAGGCTTCAGCTTCCTGTTGAAATGGGGGAGCTCGTAATTTGACTTCCAAAGGACCCTCGGGAAAAATGCTTTGAATATATTTCTGCTTGATTTGTTAAACTCCCTGGGCCTGTTGAGCCATTGTGTTTTCTCAATTGCACCACTTGGTGGTCTCTAGGATTCAGAGGGAACTGCTGGGGTCTCTGTAGCCTGACCAGTCACTAGAGATTCCAGAACACCGAGAGAGTGACAAAGTAGAGTGGGTACTCAGCCAGGGAGGCGTAGAAACCTTTTGTGCCCTCGTAGTGGAAATTCTCCCTAGTTCCTGCTACCCAGTGTGTTGCCCTAGCTGTACCCCAGTTCTAGTCCCCAGTTCATAAGGCCCTACGCAGCAGCACCCTGGCTCCATCCCACCCAAATGGCTGCTGAGGGTCAGAAACAAACTGAACACTTGTCTTGGCACTGTTCTTGTGTCTGCAACAATGCTTTTTCTTTGGTTATATGGCAGGATAGTTCAATAGAATTGTTTATTTTTCTCTCTGACAATTCTGTTCTTGCTTAGTTTGCAGATATAAAATGAAAAGTGTTTTGGCTATTGATGTTGTAAAAAGCATGGACTATCTTTCACATTCCGTTTTTCTCTAGCCTCATGTCTCCCTGCAGGGTTAATCTCAGGCTCTTTGGCTCATGAGTTTATTGCTGTCTTTCACAAAAAAATAAGTTCCACTCCTCCCCTGCAGCCTGGCTCAAGTGCCAGGGATGAGGCAACCTTGGTGATCTTCTCAGCCATGCGACACTTGGGTAGGGCCTTCATCTGTTCCCTCTTTGCAAGAGTGGGAGAATGGCCACTGCTGCCAGCTCAGGCTGCTCTCCTGCTGCGTCTCTCTCCTGGCCTCACATGTTATTTGATATGGTACATTCCATTTGTGAGGCTTGAGTCTCAGAGAGAAAGCTCTGTTCTTCATCTTTTGAAAGCCCAAGTTAGAGGCTAGTCCTTTTTTTCTGAGCTTTGTCATCTTGCTCTGACCAGAAGCATGAACAGCACCTAGCTTTATTCATACATCAAGAGATGTGCCTCTATCCCAGCAGCGGTGGGGCCTTTTTTCCCAGAGGCTCTCCCACAAGTGTTTGCCACCCCCTGGGCACCCTGCTTCTAGACTCCCTGTGCCAGATCTCCCGTCCCTTCCCTTGAGGCTGTCTGTGAATAAGAGGTAGTACTTCCCAGTTCTGCCTTATTGCAGCAGGAGAGACTAGCAGTGATTCAGAGCCATGAACACTCAACGCATCCTCCCCTGAATTTTCATCATTTTCTTTCCCTGTGTCTCTAGCCCAGTTCAACTTTTACCTCATAATTTTACAGCTGCAGTCTGCATTTCTTTGAAATATTCGTCAATCTTACTCAGATATCAGAATGTAACACAGATCATGGTCTGTCACAGATGACCACTATGAGTGATAAATGTATTTACAAAGTGGATGATTGAATCAAAGAAAGAACAAAAGACAGAGTTGGTTAGTGAGCACTTATTTTGTACAGAATACTGTGGTTGGATACAAAGAAGTATGAAGGATAGGATTTTTTTTTTTTGAGTCAGAGTCTCACTCTGTCACCCAGGCTGGAGTACAGTGGCATGCTCGTGGCCACCACAGTCTCAACCTGGTGGGTTTGGGCAATCCTTCTGCCTCAGACTTCCAAGTAGCTGGAAATACAGGCACGTGCCACTACGCTCAGCTAGTATTTTTATTTATCGTAGAGATGAGGTCTCACCATGTTGCCCAGGCTGGTCTTGAACCCATGAGCTCAGGCAATCCTCTCACCTCCACCTCCCAAAGTGCTGGGATTACAGGTGTGAGCCATCACACCCAGCACAGAAGAGGATTCTTTCCTCAGGGATTTTTCAGGCCAGTCATGTGGTCAAAGAAGACTATGGGAATTGCTAAGAGTGATAATGAGTATAAAGATAATAATAACTAAAATATATTAAACCTTTCCATGTGGCAACATCATTCTAAGTATTTTACATACATAATCTTCCCTAGTTCATACAGCAACCTTAAGAAGTAGATATATTATAATATCTCTTTTACAAATAGGGAAACTAAGACTTTGTTACTAATTTGACCAAAATCACAAAATTAGTAAGTGATAGAGTTAGGATGTGACTCTAAGTCTCTCTGGCTTTAGATACCTAATATATCACCAGTATTCTGATTTCTTTCTGTCTCATTCTGAATGAAAACTGATGGCACTATTGTCCAAACTGCAGCCAGAGGACAGAGGTGGGAAGCTTATTTTAAGAGGAAAATGACTCTCCATTAACTCTTAAGTTCGATGTGTAAGTCAGATAGTAGGGAGAAAATATCTAGGAGTCAGTGGGAATGGCTCTCAGGAGGAGAATGGCTGGGTTACCAATAAGGCTCAGGTAAGAGAATCTGCCGTTTTCGTAAGTAAGACTATGGAACCACAAGGAACAAGGAATATAAGAGGAGAATTCATTTTGGGAGCAGGGGGATTTCTGCTCATCTCATTTGGAAAGCTCCTTTCCCCCAGGTGCCTTTGATAATTCCCAGATGCTGTGGCTGAGTCCCTCTCCATTGGTGCTGCTGTGATAGTGTTGGTTTTTCCAGCTGGTGGAGAAATAACCCCTACTCAGCTTTTCCTACTGCCTCTATCTTAGTCTCATGGAATGGAAGTTAGATCTAACACCTGCTCTGTCGGAAGTGCGAGGGGACCATCCTTGCTGGACAACAGGCCTAGTGGGCACCTTTTCATCACAAATTCTTCTTTTCTCCTGACTCAGGCATCGAATGCCCCAGAGGAGCCCGAAACCTCCCAGGCATGGTGCAGGAAGGAGAGCCCTTCAGCGAGGAAGCCACACTCTTCACCAAGGAACTGGTGCTGCAGCGAGAGGTAGGACATCTTCCTGTTGCTTCTTGTATGGGGAGGGCTTGAAAATTCAGGCTCCCTTGGTCTGACGTTTCTCTGCCATGTCAGAGATCAGTTTGTCGCTATTTCCACTGCTCAGCCTTGTGCATCCATGATCCATTCTTGTGTCTACCCATATCTTATTTCCCTGAGCCCTGCATTATTGGCCAGCCGCCCCCAGATTGCTCCTCTCCACTGGTGGCCTTGGATGTGTAGTGAATACCAGGCCTGCCCAGCCCAGCCAGGAGCCTAATACAGAGAGTTTACAGCTTTGCATTCCTCCTCCTTGGTGAATTAGCCTGAGCTGCCTGCCTCCAGCGGGATTTAGAAGCTTGACTAACCCTGTCAGGGGCCAATTTTCTTTGAACATTTATTTGTATCTTTGAGTAATTGCATTTTCTGTAGCGGGTTTTCTGACTTAATTTAATTGTATTTCTGTTTCTGCCTGTTGGGCTGGCTCTTGCAGGCAGGAGTTAGGCTCTCAGCTGCTGTAGGGCCCTTACCTGTTAATTTTGCTCGTCTTCATCAGCAGATTCCTCTTCTTTCCAAGAGGATGCCCACCATTCATCCTGCTGGAGGGCCCAAGAAAGGAACAGTAGTGGAGCATGGTGGGCTCAGGCTCAGGATTTCGGATCTGCCTTTGTCCCCATTTCTTTTACAAGGAAATATATAGATTCCCTCCAGCTTTCATGCAGTATCATAATATGCACAGAGATACACGTGTACAGGCTCCTGCAAGTTATCTCTCTCCCATGAGTCTCTGTAGATTTTTTTTTTTTTTTTTTGAGTTGGAGTCTCACTCTGTCACCCAGACTGGAGTGCAGTGGCATGCTCCCAGCCACCGCAGCCTCAACCTGTTGGGCTCCGGCGATCCTTCCGCCTCAGCCATCCAAGTAGCTGGAACTAAAAGCACGCGCTACCACGCCTGGCTCGTTTTGATTTATTGTAGAGATGAGGTCTCGCCAAGTTGCCCAGGTGGGTCTCGAACCTGCCGGCTCAGGCAATTCACTCACCTCAGCCTCCCAAAGAGCTGGGATTACAGGCTAAGCCACCGAGCCCAGCTTCTCTGTAGATCTTTGAGAGAGCTGTGGACTTTTTCAGAATGTCCAGTGATACCAATACCTGTTTATAAGCTTTAGCATCTCAGAAGTACAAGAGAACAAGCCAGCCGATATGCCTGTGTTAGACTACCCTGGCCTTGAGAAAACCGCTGCTTTGCCTTCTAACTAGGCTGTATCATTCCTGTTGATTGCCACCACTTTGGGATTTCTCTAGCATTTGCTTTCTCATATTATGAAAGAAAGTAGTGTCGCAAAGCAAATCCTGAATTCCCCATTCCATTTTCCAGATAACCCATTGCAACTATTCAGGTACTGCATCTGCTTTTGTTGGCTGCCTGTACAGTGGTTGGGGTCTTCAGGCCTCATTGGATCATCAGGTTCACTTGGCCTCTATTTTGCTTCTGTGATGGTAGTTTGTGAAGATGCTTATGGAGTAGAAATCTTTATAGTGACATGGATGGTGCCTTTCCCCCGACTCCTGTTTGTAACTACACAATGTAGTTTGACTTTCTATCAATTAGTGATAGCCCCCTGCTGAGAAGGGACTAGGTGATTGGGGCAAATACTGTAGAATTTCCCTCTGCCTTTGTGGGAATTTGGATAATAAATTGCAGAGTAACTGTGTTGGAAAAAGCAAGTCCATGCAAATTCATGATGTAAAGACATTACAGAGGATGCAGCAGAAGGTTTTTGTTTGTGTGTTGCTCTTTGGCTAGAGGGAGGAAATTCTTCCTTTCACTGAATTGCCTGAGACGTTTGTTGATGGCATTCTAGTCACTCCTTGTCTCAGTCAAATTTCTTACCATACTCATCTTCCCATTGTTTCACAGCTCCTGAAGTTTCTTTATCTTTCTTTGTCAACTCTTGATTTCCCAGCCACTTTTCTTCCTGATCATGTTTCTGGTCCACTGGTGGGATTGAGAAGTACAGAGGTCAAAAAGAATGGTGACCACTAAAAAGAATAACATTTGACTGTTGAAAAAAAGATTTTTTTCCCACTTTCTCTGATGCCCTTGGCATGTGGCTTGAGTTTGCAAATCCTAATCCAAAATTGACCTTTCTTGATTATCATGGCCCAATCTTTCATATCCCTACAATGGGGGCCTCTTGATAAGGAACCTTTCTGTATTTTCTTAGCTCCTTAAATGATTACTTAGGCTGGCAGTTTTGAAAAATCTTTACCCAGAAGAAATAATGAGTATGGCCTAAACTACGAACCAGTCAAGATTTTGACAAAAGGAAGCTATCGTATCCTCCAGTCCTGGAGATTACCTCCATGAAATGTAGGAAAACTGTTTTCTGAACAGTGTAGCAAGGAAGAAAGGTTTTATTTTTTACAGTTTTATTCATTAGCTTTTGCCTGTTTAGTACCTGCATTGTTATCTCCTAAGTTGTCTTGAGGACTGTTTTTTTTCACTCACCCCACAAGGATCTAGAACCGGAGAACAGTCTGGGGCTTGGTTGTCCTGGATGCAGAGGCGCTTCCCGCCCTGAGTGGAAGTCCCAAGAGGTGCCCGAATGCCAAGTGTGGGCCCACGGCTTCCCCCTCATGCAGCACTTACCTTCCGGAAGCCTCTGCTGTGCCACGGTGCACTCCAGGAACTCTTCTGGAACTGAGCCGCTGTGGGCTGGCCACAGCTGAACTGCTTTTTGTACCTTGTGCCTGTTTCCTTGATAATCCGATTTAGCTCAGCTAACTAGGTATTTGGAAGATGTGACTGTCCTTGGCCCTGCACCATCCCTTTATTTTTAAGTTTTAAATTTTTGTTCATATTACCTTATTTTTGGCCAGGATTTCTTTACCCCCTGCCTGCTTTCTCCCAGTTACTATAAATCTGCATTATCATAGGAAAGAAGCAGCACACAGATTTCATGATCTCAGTGTATTTCCTGGACCCTTCTGTGCGATCCTACAGAGGCCTGGTCAAGTTGGACTCCTTGAGATGAAACCATAAATTGAGCTGAGGAGAATACAGGGTGCAGGAGTAGAGTGGGGGGCTGGTGTATGGACTGAGTAATCATTTCTGCCCCTATGCCTAGGAGAGGTGTGCAGAGTGCCTAGCACTGAAAAAATGACCCCATGTTTATTAAGTGGTTTGTCCAGCTTTGGGTGGGCAGTGCAGGAATTCCTGCTGTTTCTTCCTCTATCTTGGGTGAAGAGAGAGTTACAGCCTTTCCATCCTGGGTCCTCATGCGGAGCCTTCAAGCTTTAGACAAGTGTTTTCTCTGCATTTTCAGGTGGCCCCCATTTTCTTGAGATAACCCTGATTTCTCTGCGTTCCTTAAATTTATTTTACAAGGACACCAGTCAGCACAGAGCTACTGACATTCCTGGCCATCACCCAGCTCCATTTTCCTAACTTCTTTCCTGTCACCTTTCATTGCATTTCTTCTTTGTCTCCATCGTTCTACTTGTTGCTTCTCCTCAGCTATTGATGCCTTCTGGCTTTTGTTTTTTTCCCTGATTTGGAAGTCTGGAAGTTCCAGGTCAGTGGTCTAGGCATTCTGGTGGTGCTGCTAGCCTCCAGGCAGGAAGAACAGTAAGTTAGACACCATGTCATTACCTGATTCTCTTTGTGACCTTGAAACCCAAAGCATCCAAGAAACTCAAAGGACATAACACTTATTCTTACTCAAAGGAAACTCAATCAACTCAACATTCCTTTGCAGCCTGACTCAGTTGGTATATAGCAAGGGTAGGCAAATCTGACCACTGTCAGTTTTTACAAATAAAGTTGTATTGTAACACAGTCATGCTAATTCTGCCATTTATTGTCTATGGCTGCTTTCACACTATAACAGGAGGGTTGTGTAGTTATAACAGAGTAGCTATATGGCCCGAATAACCTAAAATATTCATCATCTGTCCCTTTACAAAAATGTTTGCCGACTGCTACTATATAGGGCATGCTGAATTGGGTTTAAATGGCTTGTTATTGTCCTGAAAGTGTGAGTTGGCTCTCCTGTGCCCTACCATTCAGGCTGTACTACTTCTGGACCACACTGCATGAGATTATTGTAGCTGTAACTGTAAGCTGAGTGTTGTGTCCCATTGGATAGCATGTGCTTGGTAAGCCAACCATCTCCTTTCTCCACCCGCCCTCCCCCCCAATACAGCTGCCTCTTTAAGGCAGTTTCCTGCCACACTGTCAAGGACAGGAAGATGTGTGATTTTCCAGACAGGAAGTTGTGCCCATTGCTAGCGTCCTCCCAGAAGTAGTGATAAGAGACAGCATTAGCTAATGGGTGGATCACTGGCTTAAAAGTGCAAACTCCTAGGTTTTAACACTCCAATTTTATGTGGTCCTGGATACGTGACTCCTTCCTGTCTTGGTATTCTGTCTAACACACTGATTTAGCAATCCCAAGCCATCCTCTCCCTTCTGAGGCCTTTGCTCTGAATAAAACAGTGACTTGGGATCTCTTTCCACCCTCTTCTAGGAGGCCAGCTAGCCGGCACATACTCATTGACCAGTTCCTTCATGTACAAACACTATTTTTGCTGTTGTATTGGGTAAACCTGAACTTTTAGAGAAAGGGCCATAAGGTATTATTAAAAGAGATCAATGTCACATTTTGACTCTTTTCACAGTTCCAGGCTGTAGAAGATGCAGTTCCCGGAGGATGGGGGCTAGATGGAGGTTAGGTGATCATTTCCAAGGCTTGTTTCGATGACCCCTCTGTCCTCTCTGAGACCTCAGAAGTTGCTCTTTGCTGCTGCCTGGAAAATGACTTCCTCATGCTGGACAGTCCCAACTGAAAACTCAGGCTGCTGCCTTGACCTATTTCCCTTCTTCCTGCTGGCATTCAAAGAGAGGATGTCCCCCTGGGGAGCTCATTCTGTAGGCTGCAGTAGCCAGGGCACAGTCCTGGATTTCCTCTCTCCCCTACCCCTTGCTTTAAAAAAAATATATATATATATATGAATGAAAGCATTACAAGCAACTGTTGCTGTTAGAGGAAGATGCGTTTATGTTTCAGGGATTGTGGCCCCCCATGAATACTGATGTGTATTTATGAAGGGGTGTCTGGGAAGGAAAACTTAGAGTAAAAGTGATTCTTTTCTCCTTCATTTTCACCCCAAGTATGCTGCATCCTGTCTGAAAACATAAACTGGTCTAAGCAGTGTGAAGTCATTCTCAGTCTCTGTTCCTCCCCACACCCTCTGTCTTTCCCCACATTGTCCCACAAGCACTGTAGCATATGCTCTCAGCCCTTTCTGTTCCATTTGTCTGTGTGGGCCATTCCCTGTCAAGGAGATGCATGGGAGGAGGGATGATGGCAAAGTTATATCTTTGGACCGAAGTGATGAGGACAGGGACAATTCAAGCCACAGGGAGTTCCAAGAGGGTGAAGGACACCTGATGGGGGTGAGGCCAGTGAAACCTGCTCTCCACCTCTCCCTGACTGCCATGTCCCTTGGGAATGCTCACTGAGCCACCAATAATGACCTGTTGGAAAGGAAGGCAGGCTGTGCGACAGAATTTCATTAATTTGCACAAAGCCACCTTATTCTAGATTATCTTAGCCACTGCCCAGAAGAAAAAGAATATGTGTTGTCAGCTTTCTAAGCAGTTCTCTTATCCTATGAGATTTTAAAAGTGATTTGGGGGCTCAGGCCTTTCTCACCTCCCCACACACTTATATTTCATCACACACCCATGGTCTTTAAGTTCAAACAGTTTGTCCTTGTTTAAGGACAAACTTAAATTTTCTTTGAAGAGGGATCAGGTAAAACAACTCCTGTCTTACAGTGATCAAACACAAGTTTTATATAGCATTTTCTAGTTTAAAATTGCTTTCATGTATACAATTTCACTTTAATCTCACAGTAAACCTATACGAAAAATCTTATCCCAGTTTTACAGTTAAGGAAACTGGGCTGCATAGTAACTTCTATTCACAGAGCTACTACAAATGCAAAACTCAAATGTCATGCACCCCAAATCAAGTTTTTTTTCCCTCCAAATTTTGCCAGTTTTGCTATTAGAAGGTGATCGTTCTTTTAGCCTTATTTTATTACTTTTTCAACCCTAGATCATCTGGAAGAAGTTAAAGGACTAGTAGTAAAGGATTTCTCGAGCCTAGAGGAGTGAGTCTTCTGTAAGGCCTGGATTCCAATTCTGGGTATCTGTAGAGACTGCAGGGGGGTTAGGGAGTTTTGCTATGGCCCTGCTCCCCAAAACATTTGCTCTGCTCTTGCCACAGTTTTTATATCTTTTGACTGCCTGATTTCTGCTTCATCTGCTATTTGACCTTTGTGGGCCTTACTTTTTTATATGACTGCTTCATTTCCATTTGCTTGTGTATATCCATATTCCTGTTTCTAATCTTTATTAAAAGACAAATCTGACTGGGTGCAGTGGCTCACGCCTATAATCCCAGCACTTTGGAAGACCTAGAGTGGAGAATTGCTTGAATCCTGGAGTTCAAGACCAACCTAGGCAACAGTGAGACCTCATCTCTACAAAAAAGATCAAAAAAATTAGCCAGGTGTGGTGACGCATGCCTGTAGTCCCAGCTACTCAGGAGGCTGAGGTGGAAGCATCGCCTGAGTCCAGGAGGTCAAGGCTGCAGTGAGTAGTGCTTGTGCTACTTCACTCTAGCCTGGGCAACAGAGTGAGACCACGACTCAAAAAAAATTAAAAAGACAAATCTGACTGTGTAAGTGCAATTGTAAGCAATTGTAAGTCCTGTTGCCTCTGGGACTGCCTCTCCAACTTCATGTCTCGCCTCTCCAACTTCATGTCTCACCTCCGCCACTTACTTCATTTTTTGTACCTTATCAGAACAGACTTGTTACACTGGCGTTTCCCCATATGCATCATTACATTTTGTCTCTCCACCCGGTACACCAACCACCCTCCTTCCTTGTTTTCCTATTTGTACATGTTCTTTAAGGTCCACCACCTTTTCTTAGAAACCTTCCCTTGCTCTCCCAGGCTGGTAAGATGTCC